CATTGATTGTCATTATGTGTTGTGATTTCCACGGGGTGTAAAGAAGTTTATGATTTCAACTAAGACATTCATCCTTCAGTCGTCTTTCGCAATCGCTGAAATACAACTCCACATGGTTCTCTGGTTCTTGTTTCACAATTTCTGCCATCTCTTTGTACCAACAGCAAACCCATAGGGTTCTATTGTAGTTTTTCAGAAAAACTTATCAACGCTGTTCTGTTCATTGTGTGCGAATAGCTGGAATCGGGTTCGAACTTAAATTCATGGGTTCACTACAAAGAGCGACGCTGGAGAAGTCTCTTCGATTTCACTTGAAGATTATTATGTTTTTTGAGGTATGTATACATTTATAAAAATGCAGCCAAGAAATGTTCCATGATTTGTTCGAGGGTAGGATACTGCTGGGTTACCCAGACCGGAGCAGGTGAATTTCTTTAAGGAATTTACAACCGAAGCTTTCGAGTAGTCAAAACCTGATCCGCAAGGCAGCGGGGCAGTGTGTGAAAACCGCGATCCATGGGGTCCGGTGTCCAGTTCACCGGCTCGTTGGACGGGGTCAAACGTCCAAGGNCCGGTGATCACCACCACGACCAGGAGGGTGTGTACGCGGTTGGTTTGGAACTGGGGTTTTTAGCCAACTCTCGTAGGTGAACTGCCAGAGGTTCATCAAGCCCTGGAAATTATAGTATACGGCAAGTAATGGATTGTGATACGAAGATCGAAGGGGCTTGCAATCGTTTATAGCCCATCTTATTAGTTATGCTAATATGGTACACAGATCCCAATTACACCAGTTTTCTATCAGTTTAGGTGAATTCTGTTTTGAATTGTTTCCGTGAAGTTTTGAATCAAAAAGTTGAATTTTTGTACATAGGTACTTACATTTTCTTCGATGAATGAATGGCGCATGATGTCTTACCAATTGGGATTATCAGTGGCATCTCTGTGTGTAATCCGTTTATCCGCTTAAATCTAGGGTGTCCGTTAAATCAGTTTTATTAGTCCTATTTTGTGGTCATGAGGAATAGCCATGCACAAATGATGCGAAAACATTATATCTCAGTTTGTCTGAAATAAAAATTAGCATCGTATTCTGTATACACTCCCAACGTTATGACGACCAAAAGATGTCTTGAGGTTGCATTAAATCTGCCTACTAACCGTGAAAATAACAATTGCAACTGTTATTTGGAAGCTAACTGTTTCTGGGGTCTGAATCTGGGATAATACTTTGTCACCAAAGTTTGCAACTCGTGTGTCATTAGTCAGTCTTTTAGAGATTGAGCTTCGGTTGTGAAGGTTCTGTCACGACCACAATGTGTGTAGAAATTATAGTTCTGGTATTTACAACCAACTGACAGTGCATACATTTGTACCTAGTCTTTAGGAATTAAAAATTTGAAAGATAAGTTGCTCCTTTGGTGTCTAATGCTCACTGAAACAAGCTGCTTAAATACAATAATATATATATATATATATATATATATATATACGAAAAATTGCCACGTCGGTTGCTTTTCGCTCGACACCCTGAACCGTTTATTGGGATGACGTGTGCGGTTGATATACGAAACAGAACTTTCAAGTGGTAATTTTGTAAAATGGGGCGTCCGTGGTCGATGATGTTTTCAGTGGTGAGACCAGTTTATTTTCACCAAATTTTGTAAATCAGATGCAGTGAAAATGTGCTCTCGGAGATTTAGTGAATATAAAAAATACGCTTGGAGTTAAATCCACTAATTGCCAATCAAAGACGAGCAAATCACTTGGTAGGAGGGAAAAAGCAAAAATTGTGGATGCATCACTCTCAGCAGTTTCGAAAAGATGATATCTGACGGAAATCTTATGGATGGTTTCTAACTTTAGAAAGTAAAACCCATGGAATACGAAAAAGATTCACGTTTGTAATTTGTGGACTGTCTGATAGTGTCAGCTGGAAGAAAAACCGAATCAATCACGAGACCACGTTCGCTGAAGAACGAATGAGCATTTCTATTGTGTTGTACCTTTCTATTTTCCTATGCACGTGTTGCGGTAAATCCCTCATGGTCCAGATGACATGGCAGCATTTCCACTATAGATCGATGGTGCTACTTTAATGAACACTGACTGAGATTTTATTTTATTTAGCCGCATATTTGAAACAGGTGGTCGCCAACACTGTACATAATAGAAATAGAAATAATGGAGATGGAAAAGTTGTATACCGCTTTCCATGATCACATTTAGCTTATAGATTTTTGTACTACTTGACCGCCAAATCCAACGTAGGTACATATGTAGTCGAGAACCCAATAAACGCCTATTGCACTGTCATTTTTGACAGGTAGAAATGTGTCTTGCATGATTCCATAAGAAACTGTGTGCTCATTTCGTGAAATTCTTTCGCCTGCTGCGGGTCTGCAACATAAGTCTACTTGCTTGGGTTGAGTTTTTATGGTGTGTAGGCAGATTCTGCACGAAAAGTATTGCTCCCTATTTTCCCTTTGTTTTAAGATTTCGTGGCTTTGAGTTTCCAACTCGCTGATGTTTCAGTTGACGTATGAGAATTCTGATGTCGTAACATTTTGACATCAGTCATTGTGAGAAGGCAAACGTTTACACAAATGCTGTTTTTAGCTGCGGTTCATTCATTTTTTATTTCTTGTCTCACTATGTGAGCCTGACGTTTTTATGGGGTAAAGGTAAGGTCAGTAGTCGTAGAAAGTTGACGAGTAAAAGTGTGCTTTAGAAATAGCCTAAATTTTCTGTGAGAATATCGCCAGTGGAATATCCGATTAGAGTTATCATCTTGAGTTTTTACAGGCTAACTTGTTCGAGTAGACTTCTGTGATACATTTCACCTGAGTCAACTGGTTAAAGGTCACTAGCCACCGGGGGATTCGAGCATACTAAAGGATCTTTTCACATTTCATCACCCAACCAGCTGGCCGTTGTGGTAAGATCTCTTTAGGTGTGGCCTGGTTTTGAGTCCTACAGAGGATACGGATCTTTTCACATTTTTTAGATTTGCTCTTTCAAATCGCATATTGTTTATATTACCTACCATTTGGTCTTTTTTTACTTTGATTTGATTTAGAGGTACTGCATTCCTAGGTTAATTGAACTAGCGTCGTTTTTATAGTGTACCTCATAGTCTTAAGTCCCGTGTGAAAATTAGTTCTGATAACGTTTCCTTCTGCTCTTTATCCTTTTCTGCCTCCTCTGACCGTCACTAACCTCAATCAATATAAATGTGGTTGCAGGCAAAGACTATGCGTTTGATGTGCGTTACACCTTTCGTGAGGTGTATGATCGAGCACGGCGTCATCTGTACCAGTGCACGAGCAACACAAGCCCGCATGGTTCTCCACCCAACCACGCCGCGATGGTCCTGAATGACGAATCATTAGCCAGCTCCAGCGGTGATGTATTGCATCGCTCAAGTGGAGACAATGCAAGCTCGATGGGTGGTCTGAAACGCGAGTACTCCAGTCGTGCAGAGTCGATCGTGAGCACTGAGGTGAGTCAATTCTCGATTAGCTTCATTGCTACGGCTACTACTACCACTACTATCTAACTCCGCAAAACGGCTAAGAAATTGTGGGGAGGGATTTCGATCAGCTTCCGTTCCATGGAGCTCCTGATAAGTGAATGAAGATAAATTGATGAAGAGATAGACAAATGTTTAGCACTCCTTGATTTTCGAACTTTTGATGTATGAACTAAACTAATAATATGTTGTTGTTTCTCGGAAATTTATTGTCCCATTTCACGATTTTTTCACATGTAGGTGTGACTGACAGATAAACTCATTTTCATATCTTAATGATTGACACATGGAGTCTCCCAAGTAAGAAAAAGCCAAGCTAAATCGTTTTGTTTTGCCCGCCATTGTCCGAAATGCTCAAATCTTGCCTTTCACGTAAGACAAAGAAGCAGTCTTGGATCGCTCCCACCAACAGTTCCAATTTTCTCTATTGTCTGAACTATTTATCCACCATGTCCATTGTCTCGAAGTCCTCACTGAAATGGGTGAACCCCACTGATAGTTTCAATGCATGGCGTTAAAACGCTCTTAAGTACGTCGTGTTCCCTCCGGGAAAATCATACGTACATCCCGATGCACGTCTTTTACCGCAGTGTCACGATTTCTTTCACACTGGAACGAAAGCGTCTTAAATAAGAGAAGACAAAGCTCAGCGAAAACGAAATTACTAAAAAATTGACTGTATTTTTTGATCGAGTATTTGCCTAAAAACCACATAGGTGATTTTTACTATGGTATCGAGCCAGACTGTAAAATGTCACTCAGAGTGACTAACTGCTAGTCTTAAACCACGTTTTGGACAACGGTTATTTTGATGTGTATGGTTAAGTGCACTTCAGACTGATTACCGGAAATTTTCATTTAGACAAGTAATTAGATCACATTTTGACGAAATTCCACCTTTAGGGCAGTGTGCTAGCGTATTTGTGGAGTTAGGTATCGAATTCGTGTTTATCTAAGGCTTTCTTCTGTTTGTCAGAATGATCTTGGTATTGTGAATGACAACTGGTCTCTTCAGGTTTCAACTATATCACTTGGTTACTAGTTACTAGTTTCCTATCAACACACCTGCTAAGCAATTGTTTTTATTTTATTCAATACACGACTTTACAGCCGGTTACGGGCTGGACGTTGAGAAGTGAAGCAGTTTGGCGATTGTGGTGGAATTCAGAAACCCCATGGCCAAGTTGATGTGCTGGTGATCGACAGCGCCTAACCATCGCAGGTTGAAGTGAACTAGTTTAGTTTTATTGATGTGTGCATTTCCCGTGTAGTGAGTTTATCACAGTCGCATCCGACTTTGTGATACGGATCTTGAGANTGAGAATTTCCTTTAGGAAACCCAACCGGAGCCTTCGACTCAAAAGTTTGATTCAAAAGGCAAACGAACTTAGATCCAACACGTGACCGAAGCACCCTAGAGACCTATCATGCAAGCTCTTTAGGTTTCGGTTCAGTGTTGTTCGCTAGTGCGTTGATCGGCGGTCCGCTGTTCGGGTTGAGGTTAGCTGCAGGAGTTCGGTCAGTGCTGCTTTACGAAGCAGAGACTTGGTCACTATGAGAACAGGATGAAAAACTGTCAGTGTTCGAAAACCACTGTACGTCGCAGTGCACGAGTTTGCTGGGGGGATCGGACAGGCAATGTTGTGGTTAGGCGCAGAGTTTTAGGTGATCGCGGTCGTCTACTGGACCAAGTGGTTGACCTCCATGGACTGTTTTGTTTGGGCTATGTGCTGCGCATGTCATGAAATAAACCGCCACGGTGCGTGCTGGTACAGGTGATGGGCAGAAGAGTCCACGGACAGTCAAATTCAGCCCTTTCATGAGGCTGTGAACACCCTAACCAGGAGATTTGCTGACATAAGTTACGTACGCTCCCTAGATGGGGACCTCGAGATCATGATAACGGGTGGGTGGAGACACTGATTGCTATGGCTGAGTGTCGCAAACAGTAGCGCTCGTACATCTATTCAAAGTCAAAGTTTTATTATGGGAAATACGTACAAGCGGTTGCTTTTCTAGTGCCATAGGGTTTAGCACAGATGAATCGATTCACAGCTCATAGAAGGTAGGCGAATGTCACAATTTATCGTTGTTTCCTGCAACCTTGCAACCTTAGTGCATGCGAGTCCTGTATCCTCTCTTTGACTCTGCTTGCAATGTTTTACTCTTCTCTTTTATCCAAATGGGCAGTTATGAGACAACAACCCAAACCAGCACAGCAAAGTGCATGGTAATGGTTGTAAAAACTTGTAAATTTCCTTCAGTAAACTAAATGGATACTGATCACCATCATTGTCGTAAGGAAAACCATTTTAGTGAACTTTGCTCATCTCTGCCAAGCTCGCAATACGCACAAAGTAAATACGAATGTGTGAGGAGGATATAGAGTGAAATTGTTAGGAAGGCAAACTAAGAGAATCACTATGGTTCAAACACAGTTCAAAATTCAACTACACATGTACATCTTTTCAAGCATTCTGAGTTGACATAGAAGGACACCACTGTCGTTGGCTCACGGTCATGTCCATCAGTTTATCCAATCAACCGGATACAGAGCCTTGCAAACCTCATACTGGAAAACAAGAGTTGCCTACACTTTGTGCATTGCTTCATGCTTCGTCTCCATGTCATCTCTTGACCAGATCACGCGATTTCCTCAGACCTGAAGCGGCCACTGTAAACAAGGAGCCGTGGGGTTGACTACTGTTATACATGAATGGCACCTGTCCGAAAAATTTGGACGGCTAGTTACATTTTGTAATTCTTGCTACAATATTCTCAGTGTAACCGTATTTGATCCCCACGTTTGGTGGTACCACAGTGGTCTAAGTCACGGTTTCTACAATGTTGGGGAAAAAATGTGGAACCCATGTGGTTAAGTCCTTCAGCTGGAAGCTGTCTCAGCTGATCAGTGCCATTTACCGTCGTTTGAATTCTAAAGGTTGAAAAAGGGATTTCGTCTGTAGTGTTTATTGTGTACTTGTATACTGCGATTTTGCTTGAGGAGCTATATGTAGTTATGGTACGGCAAACATTATACTTCGAAGTAAGACAATTCAAGAATTGTGATTAGAACGGCCTGTCAAAGCCTTTTCCATAGGGTGAGGGGTATTTCAGACTGATTGATGTTCAGTGATAGAGTGACCCGCAGAAAATGTCCAGGCAAATAGAACACGCGTTCGGTAATGTACGTGTACTGAGGCACAGATAAACAAACAATATGTACAATATGCTTTATGTTATAAGCAATCCGGCTCAGAAACCAGGCAGCCTAGGACACTGAAATGGTATATCGAGTCAAGCCATTCGCTAGGCACCGTGATACCAACGAACGAGGAGCACCCGAGGGAACAGCGCATTTAAACGGGTAAACCGACCAATCGCCGTCAATCTTTCCATGTGAACGGTTGCTTATCGGTAGTGCATGTACAGATGCGACGTTTCCCCTAACGGGGTAGGGGAGCAAAAAAAAGGACAGGATTAATGCTGGACTATTGAAAGTTGTGAGGACATAGGTTAACATATCAGGCTGTATATGAACAAGGTCACAAGTACTGACAGCTGTGGGTGAAAGGATTTTAACGTGTCCATCGGAGTGCATTACATGTGTCGAGATTAAGCGGTTTGCTGAGGAATGACTGTGCTATGGTCTAGAAGACACGATCAAAAAGGTGATCTAAACGGCAGATACATCCAGTACAGCACGGATTGGGGGTCAAACGGAGCGGTGACCGGGGGGTGGGGGAAGCAACATTCACACAAAACTGCGAATATTTAACTGACCGGCGTTGTGAATTTCTCCGAAATTCATAGATCTTTACAGAAGGCGTTACACCTAGCGATGGCATTCGTGCAATTTCCAAGCGATCTACAGATTTCTACTGTTGATCAGTATCATTCGCATTAGGTCACCTTTAATTTAGCACTTGCACGCAGTAATTTTGGTTGCTGTCTTTGGAATGAAGGAGTATGCGCAATTAGCAAGTCTTATCACGTACTTTTGGCATACCATTTTTACCATCTGTCTCCATGTGTCTTCATCCATAAAATAAAACTAGCAATTAAAGTTAGGTTCTTTGGGTTGTCCTACATCAAAAGTCAGCGACTGAGAAGATTAAACGAAACGTTAACATCTCGCGACACTTGTCTTCTTTCTGTATTGCTAAAACTACATCAGGGTCAGAGTACAGTTCCAGATAAAAAGTAACATCAAATCTGAGCGATTAGGTTATTGGGAAAACTGAACAGCCGAACCAAAGAGCATTACCGAACTCCACTTTTGTGTATCTCTTGCGTCATACAAATATGCAGATATACTTGCAAATTGGTGCTTGTATTTGAAGTACTTCCAGCTGTGACACGCAGATCGAGGGTCGCACATCCCTCCCACATTTCGTGCGTTGTTGACACTGTACGCGCGCGGCCGTCCTTCTGTACCTATACGTGTCTGCTATCAGGCCAACAACAAGCATGGCTGAACACGCGATTCAGCTCTTTCGTGGTCGCTTGCTCCCCTCCGTATTGTACACAAGGGTACACATACGTGCTGCATGCAGTTCGTACGCACGCGCGCTTTCCTGCCAGTTCATTTGTTGCCCAATCACAGCCGTCAGCCCGATTTGTACCTATTCTTGCGTCAGAGATGGACCATTCAAACTCACACGTAATCACGCCACTCCATTTCATCGGCTGCGCGCGCTCTCTCTCTCTCTCACCACTGCTGCCCATCCGCATGGCCTCAATGACCTTGTCTTANTCCACCGCGTGTTAAACGACCTTGACCAGTAAATTCCCGTGTCGGTCAGCTGGTTGGTTGGTTGGTCCGTTTGCTTGAGGCAATTGATTAGCCCACTGCTTCACATCTATTGGTCCGTTTTCGACCCAGGTTTAGCCCATGCCTGAACGAGGCAGAGGAGCGATTAGTTGTTTAGTACCACACCGGTTCACTTATTCAATGTCTGACCCGGATCGACGCGTTGAAACTGATACAATTGTTTCTACGTCGGTTTCATTGCAAAAGTACCTCGGCTTATTCTTCTTAATTGGGTAGAAAGTGATTTTTCATGTGCTGGGGTTTGTTACTGTGGCATGCTGATACGAGTGGGACACCTGCCTACGTGTCAGTGAAACCCCGTAACAAATGGGCCCAGGATCGTCACAATTAGAGATGTCTGATGGAGAAAATGAACGGTTCATCTAACGGCTATCAAAAACGTCTGACTGGTATCAAGACAAGTGCTTACTGTTCTGGGTGGGATCTTTAGGGAAGGGCAGAAATGCGCCATTTCATTGTGAAAATAGCCGTCATTATTGCGGAGGAATTGAAACGATCATTTATTACACATCGCGTTTACCTGTTTGAATAGAATAAGAAACAGCTCTATTCAAATAAATCAAACGGAAAGGATGTTTTCGATGCACCGGTTTAGTTCTGAGAAATGAAGCATGGCTGTTTTCGAATTGCGATTAATAGTTTCCCATAGTTTTCACAATGAGTGCCGACAAGATTTCTGCCCTTTGGGTTCCCAACAATCGAAGTAATCTTTACGACAATATATCCGAAACGGAATAAAATGTGCTCACAAGAGCGTGCAGGAAGTCAACAAAATATACCACATTACAAAACTGCATACAAAGTTTGGAGTTTGAGTATGGATTGAATGGTGGTTATTGAATATAACCCAAAAGCGGCTTATCCACTAAATCCGGACCTTGGTGTGTTCCGATCTTAAGAAATGCGGGGACTTTGGCTTGTTTCAATTGTTTAAACAGTCCCACGGATAAAACAAAGTAGCAAACACGCTCTCTGTTACTTGTTCTATTTATTGTTTCGTAATGGCATGATTAAGACACACTGAAAACGAGCTTGTTTGCCACTTTGTGTTCTCAAATACGGGTATGATTGCTACCCATACCAATATCTCATATAAATAAAATTCTGAAAACCACTAGTTACTTGTCTTCGAGGATTCTCAGATTTTATCCGCACTATTCCTGGTTGGTACCTTACATTAATCCTCAGAGTACCCAGATTTATCGCTCTGGAAAAATGTTGACTGATAATAGAAACATATGCTACAAAAATAATCGGTTTCCCTCAGAATTTACTCATTATGCGAAAATTATCGCATAATTGATACTATGAAATACCTACCCCTTTAGCGGAATAAAAACAACAGGAACCACGAAATGAGTACATCTCCACACCAGAGTAGTCACTACGTCCGCTTGTGCAATATAGCCTTAGCGTTTGTTGCGGATGGATCGCACGAGCAAAACCGGTGGATTGACAACTTAGCACATGAAACTTACGATGAAGTGTTTTTAAGGAATGTGTTCGCTCACACATTGTTTTGTTGCGGACACAGGTAATCAGTATGACTAATAGAACAGCGATCACATTTTTCGATTCACATGGCCTATCCGAAAGACGTGCTTTGGTCGGTCATTAAGCTTTGCTAAAATAAGCTTCATGGATTACCTAATGAATACGGCCAATTGATTTGGGCCTGTTTATTCGGCTTGTCCCTTGCGCCAACCGTTCAGCCTTCTTCAGTCAGGCTCCGTGGTGCAACACGTGAAACGAGCCGAGAGTCATTTTGACTGGTACTTCAGGGGTATTATTTCAGTGCGTTGTAGTGTGCGGATTATGCGTCCGACAAGCACTAAATTGTGCGGCACATCGAGGAAACCTTTTCAGAGAAAATAGAACAAACAAACTGCTGGGACAATCAGTTGTCAGCTCTTAAATGTCACAAACCTGCGGAAATTAGTGATTTACACCTCTAGAGCGAAAACTGCTTGACTTGCCTTGGCCGTATTACCTAGATCAGGTTACAACTTGCTGTTTTAACTCAATGGAATTCAACGGTTTGCTTTTACTTGGCTTTGGAGCAGATACTCCGCCATTGTTGGAGTGTCCAATCACTATGTTAGAGGTGGGATTTGGCCCCCATACTGCTAGGCTGATAATGAGGTAGTTTATGAGACACTTGATTAGTGTATGCTTTTGCACAGCTGTGTCAACTGTTTAAATCGGAATATGGGAGTTTCTGTAACTTCTTGATCTATGAAATCCTTGGGTTCTAGACTTGTCACAAACCATTGTAACGTCAGTCCGAACAACGTTCCTTACGAATCGCATGTTTTTGACTTTGACGGTCCTTATTTGCGGTACATAGGAAAACTCAGTTGAATGATAGTTGAAGTTTCGCTTTAGGTACATATCAATACTTATTTCTAACTTACAGAACCGTCGTAGGTCCCAGTTACAGAACGACAAACAATAGAGCAAATCTTTGAATAAGACTACAGCGGTACTGGACAAGCAATGCTGAGGTTAGGCGCAGAGTTTTAGGTGATCGCGGTCGTCCACTGGGATATGTGGTCGATCTCCATAGATTGCGTTTTTTGGGATATGTGCTGCGCATGTCACCAAATAGATTATTACGGCGCGTGCTGTTTACCGAAGCAGGTGATGGGTGAAAAAAGTTCAAGGGGAGTCAAACTCAGACTTGGCATGAGTCCATTAAAGCCCTGACCAGGAGACTTGCTCACATAGGGCGCGTTAGGCTCCCTGGATGGTCAACCCGAGATCATGGTAACCGGTGGTAAGAGACGCTGGATAGTATGGCTGAGTATCGCAGTGGCACTCGTACATGTCTACCCGTAATTGCAACCTTAGTTCATGTAAATTCTCTATTTTTCCTTTGGCTCTTACTTCTGCTGTTTTATCCAAATGGGCGGTCATGAGCCAAAAATCTAAACCGGCGCACGAAATTACATGGTTAATGGTGGTAAAAACTGAACCAAACGGGGCAACCGAAAGGTTAGTTAAGATGGTGATTCAGTTGATGAATCGGTAAAGAAATGATAGGAGCAAGAAAAGGAAGATTAAAGGATTATAAAAGATGTAGTATGTACAGAAACTATTGCAAAACCATCACACCCATCACCCTATGTGATTAAGACGTATTATTGAGCTTTGGTAATGTTAAGCAGTTTCACTTTTACCAGGCTATTGTGTTGTGTGACCATTACCTAATCTGCTCTTTTTTATATGTAAAATCGGCAGCGCTCCAACACTGCGTACTATCATGTGCCAAGGTTAACTTCGAAGTCGGTCAGATTGTCAGTTTTCGTGACACTTTCTCTCAAAGTGATTTTAAAAATACGCAAAATAGCGAGTCGGCTGCTAATAGGGTTTGCGTCGTGGTAGTCACGTTTGTTCTATATGTAAAATATCTCAATTGCGGAAGGTTTTCTCAAAACAACCCAAAACTGCATAGTCCGTTCACTCTTTTGTACGAATATGGTCACCAAGACCAATGTTTGCTTGTACCGTTCTGGTCACTTGATAATCTGCTCTCGTTCAAACAGTTTATGCGAATCCACTCGCATCTTGGAACTCAATTACGTTCCATGTTCGCGAACAGTGGTGCAACGAGGAGATCTAACGAGTGGCTTTGAAACGCTAAGGCAAATTATCGTTTGTTCGTTTATTTTCTTTTTCCAGAAGTTAGCTTCCACGACAAATCAATTCAAGCAGAGTGTTGCTTGCAGCATGCGTGATTGGTGTGTGTGTGTGTGTGTGTGTGTAAAACAATTGCTCATTCCTCCTTAATCCTTGGTAAATTCCGTTTTGAGAATACAAGAAACTCAATTACGGACGGCGGTTAGCTTGGGTCCATATCTGTTTGAGGTTGGTGGACGCGGTCTCCTTCGGTCTGAAACTTGAGGTGGTATGCTACCGATTGGAAACCGAAGCGATAAAGTTTTTCTGTTTTCCGTACCCTCCGCTTGGCCTCAGAATCTCTTCATTGTTAGTCAACGGAGGGCACAGACAAAATGCTGTAAGGAGGCGATTAAAAAATCATTTTCTTACCTATCTGATAGTTCAGTTTTATTGAACACCATTGCACGATAATGTGCTACTGTTCACTTATGATAATCAGCAACTTACGTCCTGGGCCTTGGAGTGACGAACTACTAGGATAGGCGTGGTGCTGAGTTGGACGATAGCCAAGCTGCCTACAACCAAAGTTGGTTGGTGGTGCTAGGGCTCGAGTAAAAGGTCTTCAGTTGAGGANTGAGGAGATTTAAACTGCTTGATCATCACCACCCAACATGTGTAGGCGCTGCTCTATTGTATCGTCCTTGCGCCATTCAAAGCCGTTCATTTTGTGTTCTGATCCACATTCTATTCCTGTTTCATCTCCAATCTGATTGACAATAAAATATTAATCGATGAGGATTTGATTGCTGTAATGCAGAGTGAGAAATTATAAGCTGATATATGATAAAATTGTTTTGAGTGCAAATTGTTCCGTTTTAAGTCGTTCATTTAACTGGTTTTATGTTTTATCGTTTCACAGGAAGTTCAGGAGATGGTGCAAGAACGATTGCGCGAGGTCGGTATTTGTCGTTTGTGTATGGATGCACCCATATCCCGAGTGTTCTTTCCCTGTGGTCACATAATCTGTTGCGCCACATGCGCTGAACGGGTGGAAGAATGCTCAATTTGTCGAAAACCAATTGAACTGCGGCATCCTTGTTTCCTCCCTTGGAGCGCAGATGAAGACTTGGAGAGTATGATGCATTCCAGCACCCGACGCACTCGGCGGCTGTCAGCCAAATCGGAGTTGGACCCTTCGGTATCTTCCACACCGTCTGTATTCATGCCCCATACAGCCTCAGCTCCAACATGCAATCTCTTTTGTCCTCCTTCAACCAACTGTTTGACACTGACCATTACTGACCCGGTCACCGAGGGTTTGCCCTCGGATACTTCGACCGCAATACAGACAAACATGAACTCCTCGGAGGAGTCAGCCGATCAAGCTGCTCCTTCACCCGAGGATTCCTCAAGTCATACACCCACAGTGAATAATACGCCGGTTCATACGTGTGCCCCATTACAATCACAACCTGCACCAACGGCATCTCCAACAAATCATTCCTCCCCACTGAATCCGACATCGAATTCAGATACCCAAAGTCGGAATCGTTTATCAAGTCCGGGTCCGCGTGCAAACAGTCCTCGTCGACCTCCGGTTCACGTGACCTGGCAAACTCCGATCTAAACTCCACTGTTCCATGTGCCCACATGACTTTCATGAATTTATTGTGGTGCAAACAGATATTTCACACTCAGAATCCTCCGTTCTCCGTCAGTCTTTCCACTTTACACAAACCAAAAATCCCCATTGTATCCGGTCCACACCAATCTGTAGTTGTTCATTCTATCTTCCAGTCAGTCGCGCTGCTGGTCACTGATTTATCCCACGGCGAACTTTCTGTTCGATGCTTGATTAGGCTTCTGTGGTTTTGTCCATACAGCATGGTGTGGTTTGCCCATTTGTTTGTCAGTCGGCACTTTGTATCCGATAGTTTCAGAAGACATGTTATCAAATGCCTTTGTGCACTCAACCCCCCTCCCCTCTAAGTTCCTCTTTGGTCTGTCCCGTTCCCCGTTGCCCGCACAAAATCTCGACCACTCGCCTGTTGACACCGGTGTATGCACACACACACACACACACACACACACACACACACACACACACATTCAAAAAACGAATTTCGCCTCCGGTTTTGCTAACCTTGACATCTGACGCTTTGAATTTAGTCATGTTTGTGTGCTGTTCTAGTCCTCCCTGCTCTTTCTCTCTCTGTTCATCGAAACCCTTGTATGCTGGTTGATCAGACATACACTTCTTGGTNCTTCTTGGTCCGAGATAAACCGCCTCCACTATGAGGCTAATCTGGTTTGCATCTCTATCTTATTGACGATGTTTGACGGGAACCAGGCTATTTCTGGTCGCTCCGATGGTCTGTCTACTTTACCAGTTTCATTGTTAAGCTCATTCCCGGCGACCTCCAGAAATCCCCTAAGGGGTTTTATCCAGTTTATGTCTCCTCATTATCATCATCATCTCTCTTCATCACCGAAAGCGCTGGTTCTGGTCACCGCGATCTTTCTTCTGTTGTCTTTCAGCGCATCGACCACGATTCGTCAGTTCCACAGGCGCCCTTCCTTTCTGTGTCTCTATTTCTCTGCCCGTGTGTGTGTTTCTGTTCCACTGTCCATAGTCCTTCCCCTTGTCGCGCACCCATAAACTTCCCCTTCGTGTTCCGTTTCATTTTCGCCAGTGAGCAGACGCAATAGAGAGCAACACTTCTTCAAAACTTCTCATTATAGTCTCTTTTTGAGCGGATGCATTTTAATTTGGATCAGTGGAGGAAGACAATGGTTGATTGTGCGGTATAATGTGAATGACTCTGTTATCAGTTTTGTTTATGTTATTCGGCTTCACTGGGTTTGTTTCTCCATCTTTTTTGCTCGCTGTTTATAATAATCTCCGTGCTTCTTCATGCATACCTCTGACTGATCCTTCATACACCATCTGACCTCCTGGTCTGTACTCTGTTGCGGTACATTTTGCTGATATCCAGGTGGTTATTCATTTGAGCATTGGTTCGTGGGTATGTACGCCTACACAAGCGTCTGCCTGTTCATCTGGTTTATTCGATTCCATCTTCTGTGTGCGTGTGCCATTCATTATTCGGGGTCCACAAATCACAAACGATTGAGTTTTTGTGCTCTTCCTCTGTCTATGCGTGTGTGGTTCTCTCCCCTCTCACACGCTTGGTCGGGTACAGACCAATCCAATGTACAGTACCCTCATATTCGCACTTTCGC